CCCGGCGCTTGGGTCCCCGCCATGCCGGCTCCCGCATCCCGCGCTGCCATCCTGCCCGTGGCCCCCGGCCGCCCGGCCCCGGGTGCCGCCGGCACGGCATGGCGAGGCCGGCACGTCGCATGGCACGGTGTTTTGGGAGCTTTAGCGCCCGGCGATGGGTGCCTCCAGTGTCGTGCCACCATCCCGTCCCGGGGTCCTGCTCAGACCCCTCCACGAGGGCTGGGGTGGCCCAGGGAGCTCTGTCTCCTTCGGAAAATAACATCAGCTGAAACTTCCTCCCGGTAACAGGGTGGGAATGAGGGGGGGGGGAAATCACTTTATGGGACCAGTTTTTTGCTGGGAAGCTTCTGGGGAGAGTCTGGATTTGAAGGATCCCTGGCAGGGAAGCCAGGAGCAAAATATCCTTCCTTAAAAACATCCATGCCAGGGCTGGTGTCCTGCCCGCTGCCGGTGGCAGGATGGCTGGCAGTGCCCAGTCGTGGTGCCCGCCTGCCCGGTGCTGCAGTGGGGCTGCCGGGGCCGGTAGGAGACTGGGAGCTGAGGCTGGTGTAACTCGCTGCACATGTGATGGTGCGCAACGATGTTCCGCCTGGGGAAGCTCCGGCTGCAGAAATGTCACCGGGGCAAAACTGGGCTGAGAAACGGGAAAGGGTCCGTTCGCCTCCGCTTGCCTCCCCAGTGGGTGCTCTGCGCTAGCCCTGGCTATTTAATAAATAATTAATAATCTGCAAAAGAAGGCCAGAGGGGCTGGCTTGCAGCCGCACTGGTGGCCCAAGCCCAGGCAGAGCGACAGGAGGCCACGGGGATGGACACGCATCGGTGGGGCTGGGCTTGCGGCAGCCGGGGAGCACGAGGAGCCACTGCGCTTCGTCAGGTTTTACGTTAATTAGCACAGCTTGGAGGGGGGGGGAATGACACTGATGCAGATCCAGGAGGTCTGGAGGTACCGGGGCGCTCACCCCCTCTCCCTGCCCTGCCAGCACCGGGCCCTGCGATGCCGTTTGGCTGCGTGACGCTGGGAGACAAGAAAGATTATAACCAGCCGTCCGAGGTGACCGACAAATATGACCTGGGCCAGGTCATCAAAACGTGAGTTGGTCCCTCCCTGGTCCCGGGGGTGCCCTGGGGACCCCGAACCCCCTCCGTGCCCCGGGCTGAGGAGCAGCCCGATGCTGCTCATGAGGGTTTTCAGGGTGCCCATCCCCAACTAGGACGGGCAGGGTGGATTTTTGGGGCGGCTGTTCCCTTAGTTAGGTCCCCCTGGTGATATTCACCGCCAGCTCCGAGGCGGGCAGTGAGGTTTTCCCGCTGCTGCTGGCTGCGAACGGGCGGCTCCCCGTATCCCTCCCTCCTCCCCTCCCAGGATCTGCGGGGATTGCAGCAATTCCGCACGATCCCGGCTCCCCCGAGCGCTCCGGGAAGCAGGAGGGCTCTGCTCCGGCAAAGGAAAAGGCAGATGTCATTACTGGTGGCCCAAGCCCAGGCAGAGCGACAGGAGGCCACAGGGATGGACGTGCATCGGTGGGGCTGGGCTTGCGGCAGCCGGGGAGCACGAGGAGCCACTGCGTTTCGTCAGGTTTTACGTTAATTAGCACAGCTTGGAGGAGGGGGGAACGACACTGATGCAGATCCAGGGGGGCTGGAGGTACCGGGGCGCTCACCCCCTCTCCCTGCCCTGCCAGCACCGGGCCCTGCGATGCCGTTTGGCTGCGTGACGCTGGGAGACAAGAAAGATTATAACCAGCCGTCCGAGGTGACCGACAAATATGACCTGGGCCAGGTCATCAAAACGTGAGTTGGTCCCTCCCTGGTCCCGGGGGTGCCCTGGGGACCCCAAACCCCCTCCGTGCCCCGGGCTGAGGAGCAGCCTGATGCTGCCCACGATGGTTTTCAGGGTTCCCATCCCCAACTGGGACGAGCAGGGTGGATTTTTGGGGCGGCTGTTCCCTTAGTTAGATCCCTCTGGTGATATTCACCGCCGGCTCCGAGGCGGGCAGTGAGGTTTTCCCGCTGCTGCTGGCTGCGGACGGGCGGCTCCCCGTATCCCTCCCTCCTCCCCTCCCAGGATCTGCGGGGATTGCAGCAATTCCGCACGATCCCGGCTCCCCCGAGCGCTCCGGGAAGCAGGAGGGCTCTGCTCCGGCAAAGGAAAAGGCAGATGTCATTTTGGGGGGGGGGGTGCAGGGGAGCAGAACGCTGATGCTTCCCCCCAACTTTTATTGTGACCCATTAGGAAGCGCTGGGTGAAACGAAACCCTCAGACCCCATTGAGAGCGATTTGACTCCAAAACACACACCAATATATTATTTTTTTTTCCATTGGCCTCCGAAACACCGGGACTGCTTGGCCGTGGGGACACTGGGTGGCAGTGGGGACCTTTTTTGGGTGCTCTCAGAGCATCCTCTGAGCAGCCTGTCCCAAAACCCACGGGGCCCGGTTCCTGTGGCCGGTGGCCGCGAGGATTGGGGGGGGATTTGGAAAGCCAAAGGCTTTGCCGGAGCGGTGCTGAGAGCCCCCCACTGGGCTCCCCCACGGCTCCTGCCCGGCCGAGGGGCTCGAACACCATTAATAATGGAACAGAAATCTTGCAGCATCCCCGGGCAACCGGTGCCTCTCCCCTTCTTTCTTCCCCACCGCGGCGCTGACATTAATGTTGGGGCGCGCTGCCGTTCCACCTCGGCACGGGCAGCTTTGCAGCGGGTCCTACCCCAGCTGCCACGGGGAGGGGGGCTTCTTAATCAGCAGATTTTCCCCCTTCCCTATAAATTTGCTTGTTCCATGGCAATTCCTTCTCACTGTCCGTTTTTTTCCACACACCCACCCCCCAATTCTGCTCCGGAGAGGTTTATACCTGCAGATTCTCTCCACCTGTGTGGCATCTCCCCCTCTCCGCCGGGATGCTGATGGGCTTGGGGACCACCCGAGTGTCCCACCAAGCTCGGTGGTCCCCTGGGGGGGTGACTGCTGGGGGCCCCCTTGCAGGGAAGAGTTCTGTGAAATCTTCCGGGCCAAGGAGAAGACGACGGGGAAGCTGTACACCTGCAAGAAGTTTCTGAAGCGGGACGGGCGGAAAGTGCGGAAGGCTGCCAAAAACGAGATCATCATCCTCAAAATGTGAGTGCTGGGGCTGGGGAGGGGTTCCCCGCGCTGCCGGGCAAAGCAGGGACCCCCCCCCCTCTCCCCCAACCCATGCCCTCGACTCTCTGTAGGGTGAAGCACCCCAACATCCTGCAGCTGGTGGACGTCTTCATCACCCGCAAGGAGTATTTCATCTTCCTGGAGCTGTAAGTTTTGGGAGGGTGCAGGGGGGGCTGGCTGGGGTTGCCCCCGCTGCTGGGG